AGCGTACTTTATCTAACGAATGAGTGTAATGATATGATTACAGACGTTGTTCATAGCTATTTAGCGTGGAAAATTGAATTTTTACATGGTATATTACCTGTACTCTTACAACAGTTCTTAAACTTTATATTAAAAAAATCAAAATTTAATTTTTCTTCAGGAGAGAAATTTTAACTTATGAAATATCTATCTATTTATAAACTAATTACTTATTACAAAATAAGTGCTAGTGTATGACAATACCTTCCATCTAGTCTTTCACTGCAAAATTAGGGGCGGCTAGCGCAGACAGCCCTCGTGCGAAATTGAAAATGCCGAAGAACAAGCAAACGAGCTCATTTGCATCTTAAGTGAGTTCACGTAGAATTCAAAGGCTAATTATAAGATCGTCTTTCTTAATATTGTGGCTCCCAGCGAGATCCTTGATACAGAATACTACCCAGTTCTGGTCGGATGTGCCATTTTGATATTTAACTTGGACACGAGTACTGTGATCAGATTGGAATATTCTTTTTCTTGCAGTTGTATGTCATAGATGTTTCTTTCGCTCGATGCTTCGCCACGAGTAATAAGTGGATCACTCTTGTGTTTTGTCATGTTGAAGATTTAACAAAGGTGCAGCTTCCTATAATTATAGTCCGCATTCAGACTATATCAGAATTTTGATATTGCTTCCTCGTAACGTTTGGTTTTAATATCCCTCAAATATCCTCAAAATAAAAAATTCAGTTTAACCCCGCCATACATTTTCTGCTCGAACCTTCTTATTAGCGAAATCTACCGAATCTGAGAATACGTTATCTGGAAGTACAACAATACATAGTATAAATCTGGTGGCAAGTTTCTTATATTTGTCTTAGTTGTATTTCAATATATATTTGAAACAACGTAAATTATGTAGCTTGTTTCTTCGACCACTATAGTAATAAATTGTGGCATGTGGTTTGAGCAGACATCTAGTTTGTTTTATGCTACTTTCGATTGCAGGCCGAAATTCACAAACAACGTTTCACTGGAAATCGAGTGAAAGGTAGTCTAACTTGAAGGTTAACTTCATTAGAAGGAATTTATTAAAATCACTTAGTATAAATATGTAATTATACAATCTGGTTTATGGTCTCGTACACAACGGTTGTATCTCTTGTAAATAAACTATTTAATGTTGATTCATGATTTAACTAACTCGCTTACTGGAATTTTTATCACTACTTCTTTTCTACTTTCTTAAATACTTCTCGATTCCTAACTTTAATTTCTAGACGATACATAAACTTTTGCTTTCAACAGACATTTGTATTAACATGTTTAAAAAAAATTATAATGCTACGATATAATAACGATTACATTTACGTCATTTCAAAATGAGTTAGTAACGTAAGTCCTACATCGAGAATACACTAGCGTAATACATGCAATTAGATTCTATTTTTTAATTTATAGATATTCTACTTTATTTATTCTAGCAAATAATGCACGATATTTATGTTAAATGAACTACTTTTATCAGATTTAAAATTGAATATTTCGTGGTCTTTTGATTCGTAGGACAACATGTAGCTGCTAAAGTAAACGCTTGATAAACAGTTACTGTAAAGATTTTACAATAAGAGGGAGCTAAACACATTCTTAACCTAACTGTACTTAATTACTTTTATTTAACAGACTGAACGAGAAGAGGATCCGGCTGATCCTGAACAAGCAATCATAGATGCAGAGGTATCTATTCTGTCTCTTTCACCTACGGGATGTATATAAATGTGAAGATAAATGTTCGAAAGTTCACCGAATGTGAAAAATATCTCGGAATTAAAGATTAAAAAAATTAACCGTTAATAGTAATACTTTCCTTTTTGTATTTAAACAGAGCAAGCTTTATGCATATCAATTATATTTAGGTTAACTTGTCACTTAATTTTCGTGTGGTGATTGGTGTTGAGATCAAATTATTACATCTCGTGATACACGCGTATCAACCTGTTTTCTAAAATTGGTGATAGTGCTGCCCCCCCCCCCCATCTTAAGTGCATTTTCTGTACTATTAGTATACCAGATTGCTAATGGGTTCATGACATTTTCGGTTACTGAGCATCTCGAGAGTTGGATACGTATTAAAAATATTAATCCCATTCATTACCGTTAGTCACTTCTCCCTCCATTTGTCTGCTGTTAATATTGTTTTAATAGGCAGACGTATAATTAACCTACGATGTAATATGTGGACACCACCACTAGTGAAAGGTAGTCTAGCTTGAAGGTTAACTTCATTAGAAGGAATTTATCGAAACTACTAAGCATAAATATCATGAATATGTAATTATACAAACTGGTTTATGGTCTCGTACACAACGGTTGTATCTTTTGTAAGGCATCGATTTTCACTTTTTTTTTTACTTCGACATCCAGCAAATATTGTAGATTATATAAAATGTTTGCAACTGTCTTGCTTCAGATTGGCTATAAAACATTTTAACGAGCCGTAAAGTTTACCTTAAACTTTCTTTAAAACCCACCCACCCCCCCCCTTTTTTTTTTTTTTTTTTTTTTTTTTTTTTTG